CACACACACACACACACACACACACACACACACACACACTTCACATAGAAATTTCACAGTCCAGGAATATATCATTTGCAATAAATCCACCAATATAAAGATATTTGGCAAAATTGTCTAAATGCTCATCTATTACATCTGGGCCTATAGGAAGACTGCATTTCCCAGCCTCCCTTGCAGTTAGTTTGGGATCACATGATTGGGTTGTAGCCAATGGATTTGGGGCAGAAGTGTCATCCAGCCTTCCTCACCAATCCTTCCTTGTCATCCTCCAAGCCCTCTCCCATTCTGGCTGCTGGTACGAAGAACTGTAAAACAGCAAAAAGAAGGTGGATTCCTGAAGCACCACTGGAGGCAAACTGCAAGAACACCCTGACTTGCAGTGGACAGTAGTGTGAGCAAGAAACAAACTTTTATTGTAAGCTGGTGAGCTTTTTGGATAACACAAAATATATGTATGAAGATTTTTATTGTATTTCCAGTGCAAGAAGTAAAATAAAGGAAGCAGCCAAGAATACCTGTCAGTAAGGAAATGGTTAAGTAAAATTGGCATATCTATGTTATGGAATGTCATATAACTGCTAAGATTTGCCTCTGGGATATTATCAATATTGTACATATTACTGTGGCATATAAAATTTTGTAAAAATGCATCCATACAGCCCAGCTGGTATGTATCAGTGGTTGAGCATCGACCTATGACCCATGAGGTCATGGTTCGATTCCCCGTCAGGGCACTTGCCTGGGTTATGGGCTTGATCCCCAGTGTGGGGCGTGCAGGAGGCAGCCGATCAATAATTCTCTCTCATCGTTGATGTTTCTATCTCCCCCTCTCCCTTCCTCTCTGAAATAAATAAAAATATATTTTAAAAAATGCATCCATACATTTGAACACTGAATGGAAAATAAAGAGAGGCATGGAAGGAAGGCTATCGGGTTAGAAGCACTGGTGGAGGTGGTATCTAGAGAAGGAAAGGAAGAAGTGTTAAAACATTTTTTCTTGTTTTAAGTCCATGATGTATTCTAAAAAATATGGTTTTAAGATTTTTAAAAAATCGATTTTGAGAGAGAGAGAGAGAGAGGAGAGCCGAACATTGATCGGCTTCCTCCTGCACGCCCCCTACCAGAAAGCAAGTTCACAACCTGGGCATGTGCCTTGACTGAGAATCGAACAGGCAACTTTTCGGTGCACGAGATGATGCCCAACCAACTGAGCCACACCGGCCAGGGCTGTGCTATGGGTTTAAAAAAATACTTGGAAATACATTATTTTTTTTTAAAAAAAAAAACAAACTTGTTTTTAAGTTGCTTTTGAAAAGCTCTTACAGTTTTTTTAGTGATACAATGTTTTCTTATTTCTTTTAACAAATGTGTGGTGTTTATAAAACAAAATGATTTATAAAGTGCCTCCTCAAACCAGGATAAACAAACCTGAAACACATCAAACGTAGGCCTTGCTGTGCTTTAGAAATGGTGGCTCCAGCTGGGTCTAACATTTTGGTTGGCACCCCTCTGAGAAACTTCATTTCTACCTTTCCTGTTTCCTCTTCTGATCCTCCATGTTGGAAATGGATGTCCTTTTCACTTCCCGTCAGCTGGCCTGCAGGTCTCCTATGTAAGCCTGCGTTCTTTCTTTGTCCTCTGCTAGGTAACACACTGCTGTGCGAGGCTCAAGTCCAAGGTCTGCTGCTGCCCACCTGGGGACTGAGGTCCCACCAGCTTGACGAGGTAGCTAGCTGGTCATTCGGGCTTACCAACTGCCACCAGACGTATCCTGTTACCCACCCTCTGGGTAGTAGCACATTACTGATTCTAAAACTGAGGAGTCACGTCCCCTTTCTATTTCTTTTTCCATCCTGTTGCGCACCAATTTCATTGTATACCCAGAAATCACAGGAGAAACCCTCCCACCCCCCACCCCGTCTGAGTGAAAAAAAACATACTTGCCTTCCCAGACTGCATAGGGTCTCCATCTACCACCCATCCCAGTCAATGCCTTCCAATCTCCTCCCTTTCCACATTTACAGTATTTAAGGTTATATGCAGAGGCCCAAAGTGAGCTCCTGGCTCAAACACTTCCGGTGATGGAATTAATCTGAATAAATTTAAGTTGTACTTTTAAATTTATTTTTTGAATTTAAAAGACAAGTTTTTTTCCATAATATAATTTTATACTATTTTCATTGCAAATGTCTTTTTGCTTATAATGAATTTAATGAGCTTCACTGGGCAGGCCTGGGAATTAACCACTGTTTGTAATAACATTTCTGTGGGAAAATGTGTTTCAAGTTTCAAACACTTGATTTAAATGTAAACTTTTGGAAAACAGCTAATTTTCAACTTGGAAAATGTATTAATGAGCTTTTTGTTTACAAAAGGAATAGATTGCCCCTGAGCATATTAAACATAACACAAGTATTTTAATATATTCTGCTACCAAGACAGGTTAACATAAGAATCAAATTTATGTGGAAAGAAGGCAAAACAGTCATATTTATTTAAAGAGACCATCAAACCTCAGAGGGAATGTAGGGGAGGGTGGGGGTAAGGGGAGAGATCAACCAAAGGACTTGTATGTATGCATATAAGCCTAACCAATGGACACAGACATTAAGGGGGTAAGGGCATGAGTGGGGGGCGGGAGGCGAGGAGGGGCAATGGGATAAGGACACATATGTAATACCGTAATAAAGAAAAAAAAAATAAAGGGACTGAAACTTCCAACATACTGGTGGCTTGTTTTTAAAAGTGCTTAAGCAGAACGACCTTTTATAATAATTTGTAAAGATTATTTTATGATTTAGATTTTAAAAAATAAACTAATTTTTTAGAAGTTTTAAATGTATAGAAAAAATGAGAAGATACTATAGAGTTCCTTCATACCTCACACTGTTTCCCCTGTTTAACATCTTACATGGTACATTTGTTATAACTGACAAGCCAATAGTGATACATTAGGTTTCTTTAGTTACTCCCTAATATCCTCTGTTTCAGGATCCCACCCAGGACATCATGTTACATTTAGTAGTCATGTGACAGACCATTCCTAAGACTTTCCTTGCTTTTGCTGACCTGACAGTTTTGGGAGTACTAGTCAGGTACATTGTAGGATGTGCCTCAATTGGGATTTGATGGGTTTTTTTTGGACTGGAGTGGTAGATATTTGGGAGGAAGTCACAGACAAAGTTCCATTTTCTTCACATATCAAGGGTGTATTCTAGCAATATGATTTATGACTTGATGTTGACCTAGATTACCTTGCTGAGATGGTGTTTGTTAGATTTCTCCATTATAGAGTTCATTTCCCCCCTTTTCCCATACTTTACTCTTTCAAAGGGAGTGTCTATCTGCAGTCCATACTTAAGGAGTGCTGAGTTATGTGCCCCTTCTTTGAATATATAGATATAGATATAGATATGTCTATCTATCTATCTATCTATCTATCTATCTATCTATCTATCTATCTATCTAAGAGGAATGGGAGAGAGAGAGAGAGAGAGAGAGAGAGAGAGAAACATCAATAAGAGACAACCATTGATCGGCTGCTTCCTGCATGCCCCCTACTGGAGATTGAGCGCACAACTTGGTCATGTGCCCTGACCAAGAATAGAACCTGCGACCTCTTGGTGCATGGAATGATGCTCAACCAATGGAGCCACACCAGCCAGGGCAGTTGCTACATATTTTAATTGTAATTCTTATGTGAGGTATTTCTCTTCCACAATTACTAATTATATCAGTATGAACTCATGGATATTTATTTTATACTCGGGATTATAATTAAACACTTTTGTTGCTCAAATCATTCCAATTTTGACCTTTGGGAGCTCTTTTATTTGGCTCCTGTGCCCCTTTAACATTGCCCCCCCTTTTTTTATTGAGGACTTCCCTACTTTCCGTCACTTGACACTACAAGATATTCCAGGCTCATTTGTATATTTTCTGTCCTGGTTCTAGAGTCAGCCATTTCTCCCAAGAGCCCTGGTTCTTTTTATTGGACAATGGTGTTAGAAAGCAAGATCTGGATGCTAGGTATGCTCTGTTTTTTAGATTTTGAGATTATTAAAATTTTAGGAGTCTTATGTACAGCATGGCGACTATAATTAATAATATTGTATTATATATTTGAAAGTTGCTAAGAGAGTAAATCTTACAAGTTCTCATCACAAGAAAAACAATATGACAGTGCAAGGTGATGGGTATTAACTTATTGTGACAACCATTTCACTATGTATACATATATCAAATCATTATGCTGTACCTTAAACTAATACAATGTTATATGTCAGTTATAGCTCAATAAAACTGGGGGAGGTGAGGGCACTTCGAGGTCTGAAAGGAAAAGTTCTGTTGTTGATATAGGTCAGACCACAAAATCTGGCCCATGTTTTAGGATTGGTGAGAAAGATGATATGGACTTGGATAATGTTATTACGGCTTCAGTTTACAGTTGAATCAGCTGACAAACAGGGCAAAATAACATGTGGGATCACGGATGCATGAAAGTGGGTGTATCTTCCTAGTGAGGCGGGCTAAGTAAGAGAGTTGATGTGGTGGCTCTCCTTTGGAAGTCATCGAAGGCTCCGGATTCTTTATGGATTCCATCTGGTGAAGAACATGGCTGCTTCAATTTCTATCACCAAGTCTACATATCAGTCAGCAGAAGAGAGAAAGGGAATGGCAAGGGCATATTTTTCCATATAAACCTATGATCTGAGTGTTACACACTTCATTCTGCTCACATCCCATTAGCCAGAACCTATTCATGTGGCCACCACTGCAAAGGAGACTTGAAAATGTCTGCACCGGGGTAGTTGTGTGCTGGTTTAAGAGTTCTATTGCTATGTTACAACACTGTAACCAAAATCAAAAGTTATAATTACAATAAATTGTTATATTTCTTTTTTAACTTATAATGCTTAGGGAATCCCCAAATCTTCATTAGCAATGCATTTATAAACCATTTCTTACCGGGTGCAAATTTGTAACCCTCCAATTAAGTGATCGTTTTCAAAATAGATTTGGGGATTGTGCTGGGAGTGCTCAAGGCCACCCTTAGTTTTGGTAATTCATTAGAATAACTCCCAGACTCTCAGCATGTAGCCATACTCATGGCTATGATTTATTACCATGAAAGGATGCAAAGCAGAAAGAGCAAAGAGAAAAGGCATCTGGGGTAAAATCTGGAGTAATCCAGATGCAAGCTTCTGATTCCTCTTCCAGTGGAGTCACAGGATGTGCTTAATTCCTCAAGCAACAAGTTGTGACAAATTGTGGAAAATGCTGCCAACCAGGGAAGCTCATCAGAGACTCAACACCCAGGGTTTTTATTGGGTGTTGATCATATAGGCACCCTTTGCATGGAACATACCCGAATTTCAGTCTCCTAAAAGGAATGTGAGAGTTCGCATAAATTATATTGTGTGTACGAACAGTTTAGACACAAAGAGCCAAGCATATCAGTGAATGGTGGGAACCCACCTGAATCCAAGTTCCCATATGCCAGCCAGGGGCCAACCTTTTATACAAGCAGGCCTTTTAAGTATAAGCAATCAGGACTACTATGTTAACTCTTTTCAGCACAGGAATAATTAAACTTAACTAAAAATTCTGGAGGTAACTTGCTATAAGCTTCTTATATGTTGCCTAAAGAAACAGTATACCTGCTTTTGTGCTATTAATATTACCGTTAATATTTTATTAATT